AGAGTCTGTTTCCAATGTGGAGAATGTACTGTCCCAAGCTTCGGGGGTTTGTACAGCTGTTTTCAGAGATACTTCTAGGGACCTGAAAATTTTCAGTTCTTCCAAGGTGCTATGATAAGGGGCGAGGTGTTTCCTCTCCACCACCACACCAAACTCCACTAAGCCAGCGCTCCTCCTCACCCCAGGACTGCCCTTCAGAACTGTGACCCAGACCGAAGCAAGGGCAAAGCAAGAGATTCCTGCCTCAGCACTGGCAAGGAGATCCTTGCAATCCCCCTCTGATCAGCCACTGGATTCCCCCTCAGTCTGTGGGCTGCAAGCTCAGGAGGCAGCTGCTGCCCTTGGGGTGGCTGAGACCTAGCTTCTTCTCTCACCACAGTCACAGACTTTTCCCACTGACCTTCTAAGTTGTCTTTGGCATTCGTGGGTTGAGAAGTCTGGAAACCACCACAGCTGCCTGCTATTCAGTCCTCTAAGGCCTGCTCCAGGGTTGCTGCGGCCTGCGCGCCCACGCCGAACTGTGCTCCTCTCCCAGCCTGGCACAATATACCTTTCCGACCAGCCAGACAGTTGTCTTGGACTGGAAATTTGTTTTACTCTGTTTTTTTGTGAGTTCTGCTGCTTTAGAATTTGTTTAGAGCCATTTTTTATAGGTATTTGGAGGGGTTTGAGGGAGAACTCAAGCAAGTCACTGCTTTCCCTCTGCCATCCTGGCTCTGCCCCCCTCCAGGCTTACTTCTATGCCACAATGTGGCAACAACAAGGACTTAAAAATACTTATTTTGTAGAAAAGGGAGGAGGAAAGAAAGAATAAGGCAGATGCATGGAAGTGGTCTAATTGATGATATGGAATATAGAGAGAATGAAGGTTTACTCAATTCTGATTATGCTTTTGCTTTCCCTGCCAGGGAGAATGGTTTTTGGTTTAGAAAAGACAGAACAAAAGTGGTTAATAAGAAGTTGATATCCAAGATAAGTAAGGAAGTACTATGAGAGCACATAACTGCACTTTATAAATTCATATCACCATACCCAGATGAACTCTATTCTAGGGCACTAGAATAGGCCCTGGAATAGAAAGTATAGGCAAATAGGATCACTGGAACATCATCACATTCTCTGAAAAATCATAGTGAATGTGAAAGGTGTCACTGTACTAGAGAAGAACAGATGTTGTCCAAATTTCCCCCCTAAATGGAAGAGAATGTTATTCTAGAGTGATATTGATCTTAGTTCCCAGAAAAATACGTGTTTAATATTTTGATGGATCAGTGATTTCATCAATCTGGCCATTCCCTCTCATAATGCAGACTGCAACCTACCTACACATTCTTATCCAAGCGAATTTTGTCCATATCCTCTAATAAATCCTCCACAGGGATTTGTGCCTTGCTCTAGATCTTTTAACATTGAGTGGATGCCAATGAAGTATAGGGATAGTTCATTGGTTATCCCTCCTTCTCACTACTTGGCTATGTTCTTTCTGGTTCATTCATATCATTCTCTTATGCTGATTCTTCATTACTAAATTTATTTTAATCACTTCGCACTTAAAATGAGCCTCTCCTTTGAATGAGCCAGACCTTTAATTCTGTGGAGACAGTGGTATTCCATTACTAACAGACATACAGCATAATCATAGAAATGATGGTGTGAAAAAAATCAACCTTTATTTCAAGGAGAAGGCTGGGGATCATTAAAGGCCCTAAACAATTTCCCAAAAGCAATCAATTTACTCAACTTCTCATATTCCATTCTGGACTCTGCTCATTGCGCAGAAATGTTGTCTGTCTGACACATAAGTGCTGATGAATGAGCTATATGAGTTGTTCATTCAATCACATATTATACTATGGACAGCAGACATTCTTCATTCCCTTGTGTTTTCTTTTTCTCCATATGTATAGTAAAAACTCTTTCAAGTGATTATGAATCTCATTTTGTAAGCTCTGTAATATTTAGGGCCTAAATATAATCTTTACAATGTCATCTACAAACTCTCCACCATACCTGAAATGTTCTCCCTCTTCTCCATCACCTCCTGGCTTCCCTGGCTTCCTTTAAGATTTAACTTAAATCTCACCTCCCAACTCTCTTCCTTAATAAAATACATAGGATCTAGAAATTTCTCTGCAATCTGAAAGGTCTTCTCTCTCATTTCTCACACCTGAACCTTTCCAACATTTTTGTTTATGTGCTTCCTTATGCCTACTTTTGCATTCAAGTCATCAAGTATTAAAAGATATTGTGGTTTCACTTGAGGGTCTTATCAAATTCTTTGTAGAATTAATTTTTCTACCTCCTCCTTTGCAACAGATGTTGATACACATACTGAATTATCTTTATGATCTTCTTGCAAATGCTTACCATGAGCACTGTAATACAAAATCACCAACTGTGCCATGGAATTATTATTTTTTGTTGCCTTCGGATGCACTATAAAATTGATTCTACCAACTCCTCTATTTGTCTCTCCAAAGAGAAACTATGAGTCATCCTCACATTTAGATACACGATTTTTTGTCTTATGGTTTCATTTATAGTAAAAATGTCAAGATTTATATAATTTTATAGTATTTTAAAGTATATGATTTTATAGTGTACCCACTCACTAGATGCTTGCATTTAGATCACCAAAAACTAAGTTAACATTTATTTATGTGTGCTAATCGAACTGTGTGCAATTATTAGAATCCACTATTCACCACTTTGTCTTTAAAGGAATAGAAGTCCACAAAAATACAACAAAGGTTGTATTTTTCTTTCTTCCACAGGTTACCATTGCCAGGTAGCCAGCCTAGTAGTGACGAGTTTTCCTATACTTAAGCAGGCTGGTCCTTGGAAAGTAGACGTAGTCTTTTATTTCAGCTTCTCTAGCATGGTAGAACCTACAAGTGATTGTGTCCCATAAAAGTTTGAAAAAGACAGTTTCTGAACATCTATAAAAGTAAATAGTGATAACTAGAGTCAGTATGGCTTAGTCAAAAACAAGTTGTTCCAGTTTAACCTCATTTCTTTTCTTTCCCTTTTTTTTTTAAATTCAATTTCTAGACTGGCAAATCAGAAAGATTATTTGTAGACAGACTGCTTAGATTTCAATAAAACATTTCATGAAGTCTCTCATATTATCTTTGTAGAGAAAACAGAGTGGTATGAATTAGATAAAAATACAAGGAGGTTGATATAAAATTGTTTGAAAGACCAGTTTCAAAATGTAGTCAATAACAAGTCCATTTCCACTTAGTGGAAGGTTTCTAGGGTAGTCCCACAAGGCACTACTTGTACTGTTGACCCTGTACTGTTCAACAATTTTTTCCAACTTAAATGAATACATAAATAGCATGCTTACTAAATTTGGAAATGACATACAGAAGAGTGAGCAAGAGAGCTAATACCTCTATCACAAAGTATACAAAAAGATCTCAAAAGGTTAGAATAAAGGACTGAATTTAATAAATAAAATTACACAGCAATAAGCTTAAAGTCAGAGACAAGTTAAAAAAAAAACACCCAAAAAATTTAACAAGTATCAGACAAAAATGGCCTAGGTAGAAAACCCTTCACATTAAAAAATGGGGATTTTTAATTTATAGTACAAAATGGAAGCCAAAAAATGCTAATTCTGTCTTAGAATACATTAAGAGAGGTAGCATGTCTAGACTGAAGGAGGTGATACCTCTATTGTACTCTGCCCTCATCAACCTCAACTGCAATATTATATTAAGTTCTTGGTACCACATTTTCTAAAGGATATCAATAAACTATGATAACCACCAGAGCAGGGAAACCAGGATATTGAAAGGTCTCAAGATGCCATATGAGGATCAGTTGAAGGAACTGGAGATGTTCTGAAGGGAAGACAAGACTTAACATGATAGTTGTCTTCTAGTACTAAAAGTCTACCCTGTGGGAAAGGAAATATATTTGCTGTTTGGTCCAGAGGCTATAAATCGATGAAAGTTGCAGAGAGACAGATTTAAGGTGCCAACCATTTTGCCTGCCTTGGTGGAGTGGATTACTTCCTTGATTTCTTCTATCAAATAATGAATTAACTTGTTGGAGATGTTGAAGAAGCAATTCCTATTCAGGTATGGGTTGGACAAAATGTCCTCTGAGTTGTCACTCAGTTCTAAGTATATGATCCAATGAATTCATCAAACATTTTGAAGGACCTAAAATGTGCCAAGTACTACTCTAGGAAGCTGAAGATAACAAAAATGATAAACAAAGTTACCCCTTTCTCCAAGTCACTTAACAGTTGAGGAGGTGGGTGAATAAGCCAGTTTACAAATAAATGTAATACAAAAAAAAAAAGTGCATTAAGAAGTACAAACAAAACAATGCGAAAATCCATTGGAAGGCGGTGTTATCTCTAGTTTTAGAGGACAGAAGAAAGGGAAGCTCAGCAAAATCAATTTATGAAAAGACTGAATGATTCTTAAATAGGATATTATGAATTTCATTGTGTTTATAGTTATTTTAAACCTCAAAAGATCTCCAGTTTTTACAAATGCAGATATTCACTCCATGCAGATTAAAAGCCATCCAAGGCTTGATAGGCTATTCTTTATAAGATTATTTAGGGAAAAAAATGATAACACCTAAATCTTCCACTGATAAACCTCTCTGAATTTAGTAGAGCTTGTCCCTCCAAGATTATCACACAGTGTATCACCTGGTAGTATTGCTACTTGGTATGACCTATCAGCATACATTTTGTTGCCTTTGAAAAATCAAGGTCACCTCCAATCCATGAGAAGGGATCAGAGTCTGATTTTAGTGGAGTTGTTCAACACAACTGCAAGTAATTTCATATTTGCATCTGTAAAATTCTTTTAAAATATAATGACATCTCAGTTTATTTTTAACGGTCCCTACTAGTGTTTTCTTGTATTTCAGTGGGGCTATCTATCTATAAATGAACACATTTCTGAAAATTTACACAAGTATATTTTTACAAAACTGGTAAAATAGAGTTGTCGAAGTAGCTAGATACTTACAAAGGTTTGGAGAAGACTACTCCTTTCATTTTTAATTTCTGCATACTGTCTTTCTAAGCCATTTTCATGCATCTTCAAAAGCTCAAGGAGGAAGGCTTTTTCAGAAAACTGATGAGACTTCAAAGTGAGAAAAAAATTTGAATGAATTAATAAGTACATTTTCAGAATGTCTTAGATGATATTGTAAAGTGATGAATAGTGTCTTTATTTTTCTTTAAAATGCAAATTCTGAAGAACTCTTAAGGCACTTAAAGTATAAAACACATTTAAGAATTTTATTATATATGAGCTATTTTGTTCCCTAATTGTTTCACGTGTTCAAGTCTTTCTCCCCAACAAGGCCATAAGCTCCCCAAAGCAACTAGCATGATGATGGGCATTAATTTGTACTGAATTAATCCTTCTTGATATGATATATATGTTTGTTAGCCATTTGCTTTTAAAGAATGAGGCTTTCAAGAGAACTGATGTTTTTCAGATGGAACCATAAAGTAATGAGACTACTTCCACAAGTCCAGACATTAAAATTAGTCCCATTACTTTACTGTGACACTTATCAATTGCATGCTTGTTTGCTGATATTCCCCAAACACAAATACACTTTTGGGGTCACTTTCCTGCTTTAGTACTGAACATGGTTCTAAATGGCAAAAAGGCCAATATAGGCATTTATATAATGACATTATTATTTCCCTTTTGGTCCTAAAAATAAGGGTCTTTAAAAAGCATTGAATACTAGAGTGAAAGTCTTAAAGCTTTATGAATGAATTAATTTATTACATAAATGTTTCAAAGATCTATGATTTTGTTCTGAATACGTCCTCCATTGATGCTTATGTCAGCCTTTCTATGCTTTCATATAAAAACTCTGTTAATTGCTCCAGTTGAGGACAAAAATTTAAAAAAAAAAACTTTTATACCCAAAGGACAAATTTCTGGCAATGAATGTCTCCAAATGTTAGCTAGACTACAGACTGTTAGCCTGACATGCAGTTTATATCTAGACCCATATTTAAATCTTTGCACAGGACCTATCACAGTGCTTTGGCATGTCTCTAAAGAACCACAGGTTACCTACATGCTATAATGAGATGATAAAATAGCATTGTAGTGTAGAAGAAACAATAGACACTAAAATGATACTAAATTAGAAGTTATCTTTCAATCATGTCTTTTTTAATGCAGAATATATCACATACAGTGTATTATTACATACACAATGGAGAATATGGAATTGTTCCCAAACTTCTCAGAGAAATTAACTTTAAAATGTTTTGATAAATTATAGAGAAGTTTATCTTAAATATAGAAGTTTCTTAGTTATAAGAGAATATTACAAACAATTTTTTCTAGGAAATTTTGAAGGAAAATCTTAAGTAGAAAAGGACTTGTTAAATATTTAACCCTAAGAACTAGACCCAAAATTTGGGAACAAAATTATTATTCTTTCAGTTTTCAAAGGAAGAAAAACAAAAGGCAGAAAAGAAAAAGGCATCTTATCACCAGGTACTGGTTTTCTAAATTTGGTTGCAACTGAAGTCATCACCACTACTTGTCTGCAAAGGGATTCTGAAGAATCATCTCCAGAATTTAAAAGAAACTTAAGCAAAAATTACCAGATTCCCTAGATAACACTGACAGAAGCCCTGGGGACTACTCTCACCTTCCCTGAGTACAGTTAAAGAGAAGCCCAAATTCATAATGGGAACTGAGGATCTTAGGATCATCCTAACCAGTTTCTATCCTAGCTAAAACTCAAAAACATACACATGGGAAGAGTACAATTCACTTACATACTTTCAGTTATGATTATATTGAAAATATTAGACAGAATGATGAAATTTCTAGATACCATGTTGACCTGGCACCCAGAACTTAAATCTTGACCCTGAGGCAAAGGACTATAGTGGAAGATACTTTGAGATGTTCCAATTTTAAAAACCAATCAGATACCAATAATAGCTAATATTTATATATTGCCTTAAGTCGTTTACATATATTATATCATTTGATCCTCATAACAACTCTATGAGGAAAATGCTGTCATCTCCATTTGTCAGATAAGGAACTGCAGCTGAGAGAGATTCAGTGATTTTCCAAAGTCACACAGCTAGCAAATGTCTGAGGCAAGATATGAACTCAGGACTTGCTGACTTCAAGTCCAGCACTCCATTTATTAATAATCAAGAAAAGGACTATTAAAAATAAAATATCATTTTATCCTATATTTGCACCAAAACAAGATGCATTCAACTCTACCTGAAATGCTTCATCTTGTTTTGGTCCGCACACCTCAATAAAATTAAATAAATAAATAAACACATAAATACATAAATAAATAAATAGCAGCAAATGTCTAGAGACAGAGAGAGAGAGAGAGACCTTAAATCACCAAAGTAGTAGAGGAAATTCCAGATGAAGAAAGATTTTAAAAATTAGGACCCTTTAGAAAAATAGGGGCCCAGAAGGGATATGAACAAAATCTATAAAATTCCAAAAAGTATGAATGTAGTGAACTTGGTTTTGGTAGTTTTCTTTTGCTTTTCTTTCCTTGAAAGGTTGAAAATTTACCTAGATCAGACATTTGGGGGCTGGCACTTGCCCTTTTCTCTCCAAAATCTGTTCCTTGTGGTTTCCTACATCTGTCAACAGCACATCACCATTCATTCAGCCAATAAATCAGCAAGCACTTATTTAGCTTCTTTTTTTGATAGAATGCTAAGTGCTAGAGATATAAAGACAAAAGTCCATGACTCCATGGAGTTTGCATTCTATTGGTGGAAATAATATATATACATATAAGTAAATAAAAAATGTATATGCCAGAAAAAGAAGATGAGTTGGTCATGGGCCAAGAGTGAGAGGTGACAGATAGATGACCTTTGGGATCTCACAGAAAATGAGGAAGATCTCCAGCATATTTGGTAGACTCCCAAGAATGAGTAACATGGAATGGGCAATCATAGTTGAATTGCAATATAAGTCACTGGAGTGAATCTCTGAGTTGATAAGCTCACAGATCCATATGAATGTGTTTATTACGTGACTCTAATAAAATAAAAAGTAATTTTTAAGGAGCTAACTATCTAGGGGAAAAACCATAGAGAGGGTGGTAAATTTTAAGAGGTGGAGATGAGGAGGCTGCCTGGGGGACAGCCTGTTTGCAAAGGCATAGAGATAGAAGATAGAATAAGAAACATTAATTAAGGTAGCTTCACTGATATATTGAAAGGGTGAATGTGCATTAAGCCTGGAAAAGTAGGCTGAAGCCATTTAGGAAAGGATTTAAAAGCCAAAAAGAGTTTATATTTTATCTAAAGATAACAAGGAGCTATTGGGGCCTCTTGAATAGAGAGTAACATGATCAGACCTGTGCTTTAGGAAAAACAACAACGAATTCTAGATTATGTGAGTTCTCAGACTAGAAACTACTACTAATTACTTTTTTTCCCTTTTTTTGATGATGGATCAACATTGAGAGTGGACTTTCTTAGCACATAAGGGAAGAGAAGCAGTGTATTCAGAGTTCCTGAGGAAGCATGTGCCAAAGGAAGGTGTGCTTCTCAACTCCGTGTGGGTTGGAAAGAGAACTCTTGGATAATGTGAATTACTGAGGGTTGCCTCTCTAACAGCCACAAGTTTGAGAAGTATGGTTCTGCCCAGATGGGATTCAGCCCTTTGTCCAAGACAACTCAAAGTTTCCTGGAAAGCACCAGCCTGTGGGGGTTGCCTCATATGTACATAAAAGGGACATAGATTTTTAATTAAGGAAAGGAGAATTTTCTGAGCAGCAAGACTCTTAGAAAGAGGAGGAGGAGTAGAAGCCAGGAAATAAAGTCAAGATATAAAGAAACAACTTGGAATTTAGCTCCTCTATCACAGTGAGTTATTTGGAATCCCACAAAGAGGTGAGTTACCTATCTAACAGCACATAGGAAGTTTTTCTTTCTCTTTCTCTTCTGGGGGAGTTAGGGAGTCCAAATCCTCAGAGTAGTTCCATAAGGGTAAATAGCCAAGTTCATCTCTGCAGGGTTAAATGTGGATTCCCCAGAATATGGGGCTATTCTCTATCTAGCAGCTCCATGTTCAGCTCTTGCCCAAGAGAAGTCCAAGCCATGGGGTGGCAATGAGTATGGAGAGCTTTAGGACACTGTGGAAAAATGTGACTCAATGAAAAAGAATTATATTGATTATTTATGAGTTATTATTAGACCTTTATAAGTTTTCTGTGTTTGTTTGTGGTCTTCCACATGTCCTTTACATTCCTTGTACTTTTTTGTAATATAAAATAAAGGTTGGCTTCTACCTAATATGCACACACGCGCGCACACACAGACACACACACACACAGACACACACAGACACACACACACACACAGACACACACAGACACACACACACACACACACACACACACACCTTGAATGCTTGAAGCCAAGACACAAGCTGTATTTGGAAATTCTCCAGGATAAATTCTGGGTGGGGGCAATACTACTAAAATAGTGATTTAGGGGTTAGCTCCCAAGATTAGACCTCAGCTCAAGTGTCACTTCCTATATAAAGACTTTGTTTATCTTGTACCCCAGCTGCCGTGACCTTCTCCCAAAATATTTACCTTGTATTTATTTTGGATATATGTATTTATGTACATGTTGCATCCCTAGATAGAATGCAAGCTCCTTGAAGATAGGATTTATTTCATTTTAGTTTTTGTATCATTAAGGTCTAGTAAATTGCCCAATTTATAAAGGCGATTAAAACTGGCTTGTTGATTGATTGATTGATTTCATGCTTCTGAAAAAAGAGCTAACTATTTTAGCTTTGAGGCAAATGAAGGGAATTCTGTCCCTGAGAATAGTAAAGGTTAAAATATTAAGCAGGTTCAAAAAATGTATATATGAATTTATGGACAATAGGTCTATCTTGGGTCATTAAGAAAAACTTGGGATCTTTGATCTTCATCCTTAACCTTTAGAGGTTCATGTCTTGGACAAGAAATGTATCTTTCTGCAAAATATCTCAGAAATGGAACACTAGGCTAACAGACCAACTTTAACCTAATTGGCTATTTCTCACATTATTATGCCTTTCAGCTACATCATTCCTAAGTTCAGATG